TATTATATATAATATTGCAAATTTGCAATATTATTGCCAATATTATTATTGCAGATTTGTTCACTGTGTGCTAACAGAGAATTTTCCTTTGAAATAGGATTATCAAATAGTGACATGCAAGCACTACATCCTGAGTCTGACACTCCTGGACAATCACATATACTGTGTCCCCTAAGCACAATTTCTGGAATCACAGATATCTCCCCTTACCAGTAGCACAGGTGACTCTGCAAAGCAAACAGGTACTCATTGAAGCTTTCTATTGGTTTCTCTTGTAGAACATAATCAATGCGACGCCCTCCATTCAGCATCCCAACCTTCACTGAAACATCTTCGTCTTTTGGAGGGTCTGGACTTTCAGTGATCTTCTCAGCTAAAATCAAAGAGTTTCACATTTAAACTATTTTCAAGCACAGCCTGCTTGACTATAATTAAGCAATATTACCCATTTTTTCGCTGTAATTTCCAAGTGTTTGTGATAAGACAATAATAACCTGAACTGCCCAGCACGATTCAGAAAGGGTACTGAACTATAGGCTTACTTCTCTCCTAACAGTTTAAACAGTTTTCTTAACAAGTAACTGCTGAGTGATTTCTCCCTGAACTCACTCCAACCCACAAAGCTTTCATTGTAATTTCTCTCCCATACCCAGCTGAGGAGGAGAGTGACAGAGCAGCTTTGGCGGGAACCTGACATTTAGCAGAAACCTCTTTAACAGGGTCAGGAAAATCAATAGCAAACAGTCACTGAGACACTCAAGTGTCAACTTATTTGAGACAAGTAAGCTACAGAAAAACCAATAATGTGTCCATGTACCTTCCACCACTTGCTTTTCTTCCTCCTCTTTAATTTGGTTAGCTACTTTCTCCAGCTCTGCTTGCAGCTGGGTTGAAGATGTATGAGCACGTGCAAACTCATTAAGGGTCTGCCACGCACTCTTCAAAGAGCTAATAAAGCCCTGCTTCAGATCAGATCCCATACGAGACAGAGAGTCTTTCAGCTCTAAGAAAGAGAAAAAAAAAAAA